TGGAATTCCTAAGAAAATAATAATTAATACTATTGAAATGCAAGTTAGTAAACTTTATGCTTCACACAGAATTTTTATCACGTTGTATATAAAATATTAGTCACAGTTGCTAGCTAAAGTTTAAACAACAATTTTTATTGTATAGTAGTATTAGCAAAAACACGATAGTACAATACTAACTAAAGAACAATTGTTTTCAGTAGTATTAACTGATATATCCTCAGCTATTTGTAGATAGTTTCGTGTTTCGTAAATATGCATCACTAGGAATAGCCTGAGGTTTAAATGGATAAATTTCACACAACGTGACCCTAGATGTAAAGTTGCTAAAAGTAATTCCTTTTTCCCAAGCTGAAGCAAATATCTCTACAAAACTTGAACGACAAGTAATAATTCCTGGAAAATGACCCATCAGATCTTGTGCTGTAGAGCAACAATAATTCTTCAGTGGCTTGAATAAGGTGCGGTCGCATGGTTGAAGCCAGTTTGATGTGTGTGAAGGCATTTTAACTGTATATACCTGGTTCTGGATAGCAATATCAATTAGCTCAATAAAGTTGTGAGAATCGTGCCCATTCAGAATCAATAAATGAGGACGTTGTAGAACAATGTTTTCTAAAAATGTCTTGGTAAACCATAGTTTTGCTAGGCCTTGTTTAGTCCGACTACTATCAGACTAGCTCCAATTTGTTCCCTGAGGCACGAACTCAGTGTTAAAACCCCATAAAGACCTAGATGTCTTTCACTTCACTATAACCTGGGGCAGAATGAACTTGCCCAATGCATTTACACATGCAATAACAGTAAGTGACTCTCAATATCCACTCGTTCGACTATAGAGGTTTTTGTGCCTTTTCGTACAACCACCTTTCTTGGTTTTATGTCAAGTTGTAGACCAGTTTTATCTATATTCCATATGGATTCTGGTTTAACATGAAAGTCATTTTTCACCATGACGTCATTCAAAGCACTAAAGTACTTTTCGAACTGAAGCTGTACCCTCAGGTTGTTGCAGAGTAAATTTATCCCCTTGCCGATGTTTAACCCTAGTCTACCATTGGTTGCTTGGAAGTTCTTTCTTGAGTTGAATTTATGTTTTGCAGCAAGTTTCTCAGCATAATTCAGGAACTGTGACTTTCCAAAACCTAACTCTAACTTTGCTCTATTGCTGGCATAATCGATGTTTTTTTTCCAAAGCAAAAGACAGGGTAGGTTTTCTTCCTGGCTTTGCTCCAATAACAACTTTTCCAGAAAGTCTGTCTCTCAGTGTTGTATATGGTACATTGTACAATATTGCTGCCTTACGCACTGAAAATGATGATTCTGATCTGATATGCTTAATTGCGCTCATCATATTTTCTTCACTCCATTTCAGGAATTTGCCCGTTTCCCAGTTTCTCCGTTTGCCCAGTGACTGATTGATCAATGCAATGATTGGAACCATTTACACGAGTTAAAAAAACATCAATTGTATCAAATGAAACAGCTATTGGTAGCTGTTTCATTTGCAAATGTCAAGAGTACTAATACCAGATGTTGAAGGAGTTATACCTTCATGAAGATGAGTTGTATTATAACATATTGTAGCCTCTTTAACAGAAACAATCCCCCACCTCTTGTTTTAACCAAGTTTTTTTTCAAAACATTACTTAGATAAATTAAATTGCAGTATGAATGTCATATTAAATTAATAAAGTGCTCCAAATTTAAAAGAGCTACAAATATTAACACATGGTGAAAACCATATGTTAGTATTTGTAACCTAATCCCAACCTTAGAGCTTCGCAGTACTTAATTTAAAATGAAGTAAATAAGCATTTAGCTAAATAATTACATAAGTCTATTAAAGAAGAATAAAAACATTCTTATTACGCATAAAATGAGTTTTGGACTTTTTGAACGTAACGTTTTGGGCCTAATGTTTTAGGTATTTTAATAACTAAAACATTAGATCTAAAATTGAAAATAAATAAAACAATCGTAAATAAAATATGCATTATTTCTAAACACTAAAAAATTATTTCTAAAAAAAAAACATAGCATAAAAATTTCAAATTTCAAATTCTTTCTCACCAATAATTATCAGGAAAAGAAAATGCAATAGCAGACAAAGTTTACTTATTTGCGATACTTTCATTGTTCTTTATTTAGCTAATTTATTTGGTTTTGATGAACATGAACTTTTGATACAATTACTCAACGCAGAGCCATAGCAATTTATTTTTTAATTAATTTCCTTAATAACAATACGCAGAGGAAGAGTATTGTTTTGAAGGCAATCATAAATAAATTAGCTTGGATATCATCCATTTTTGTCAAAGCAATTATCAAGTAAGTTTGGGGTTTATTTTTACGATAATGCCAATGATGTTGAATTAAGGGTATTTAATTTATAAAATAATTTCCTCAATAATATATAGAATATATATACATAAACTACTTCTTTGTAAGCATTCAAAAAGATTATGCTCTTAATATGTATCCTTACAAAATTTTATGATTTTGTTTTTTAATTATTTTTAAAATATGTCATCCCAACTTAATGAGAAAAAAAAGGGGATCACGGCGAAAGGTTTTTTTTTGTTAAAACTGCTGGTAGTGTAAATCTTAATATATTATGCTGCATCTATTCTTGCCCACCTGGGCAAGATTAAATGCATTGGGCAACAATTAATTTATTCTGTGGGCAAAATTATGTAATGTAAACCTATAAATATAGCCATCTATATTTATATTTAAATTTGTCAACTATAAATATAGTTGGCAAAAGGCTAACTATATTAATAAGTATAGGTTGGCATTTATATAAATATAGTTGGCATTTTGCGAACTCAAAAACATTTGAATTGGCACATTGAGCAAAGCTTGCTCAATGTACTAACTCAAATGCTTTAAAAAAAAATGCAATTTGCCAATTATAGTTTAAAACTTGCTCAATGTGCCAAATCAAATGCTTATATGATAGCTTTGGGAGGTGGGACACCCCGACAACCCACCTTCGGGACGGCCCTGTATGTATATATATATATATATATATATATATATATATATATATATATATATATATATATATATATATATATGTACATGTCGAGCGTGCTAAAAAATAATTTCACTGTCAATTTGGTTAACAAAAGACTGTCAGAGTGATGGGTTGTTGTGGATGGGTGCATTTGTACTTTTTATTTATTATATGTTTATATCTATCAATGCATCTTGTTAATAAAGTATAAACCAACTTGCCACCTTTTTATATTTCATATAATATAACTATAATTAGATGGGATAATATTTCAAAATTACTGAAATCTATCTAGTTACCTTATATTCATATATCTTTTAAATTCTGTTCACATCTAGAAGGAACCTAAGAGGTTTGGAAACACTCACAGAGCTCGTTTAACAATCCATATGATATGTGTTCTAAGTACGAACCCCATTCAATGTTTTTAAATTAAAGAAACGTCTAAATAAATGTTGTTAAACTTCTAAATAAATGTTGGTATATGTGCTACTACTTTATTTCAATGTCAAAAGAGTTTAGCGCAAATTACACCAATAGTTTTATACAGAGGAACATTTAGCATTTTAATCAGGGGTGTGGAGTCATAAAAAAAAGTACCGACTCCGACTCCAATCTTTGAAATTTTCAGAATACGACTACGACTCCAACTTCGACTTCTAAGCAAAAATTTTGAAAAATCCTTTGAATTCTTTAAAAAATATTACGCGATAATTTAATAATTTTTTTTTGCCCTTTGTATGAAAAGTTCTTTGAAGGTTAAATATTTTGTACATGCACGTGCAATACCGAGAAGTTTTACTATTGGAGTCGGAGTCGCGATTTTGTTTAGCGAACATCGTCAGTACACCAAACAATAAGTTCATTGCTGATCAATTAACAAAAAAATACAACGTTTACCCTAATATACAAGCATGATGCTAACGGTAAAATCACCAAAGCAGAACTCGAGTCAACCACATCCAAAAAAGTTCTAGTTGTTCAAATCTTTAAAAACAAAAATTTCTCTTACCGAGGCCACTTAAGTTTTTGGTATATTAGAACACGTCTTTATTACCAAAGACGCTAAAATACGGAAAAAGCTTTACATCACTTACATACAAATACATCTCAAGTATGCAGTTACTGCATGGTTCCTGCTCTAAAAAACGCATTCAGATTCGCATTCAGATTGGTTGCTGGTCTAAAGAACGCATTCAGATTGGTTCCTGCTGTAAAGAACGCATTCAGATTCGCACTATCAAAGATTCGCACAAAATAAAGCGTTTAAACAACGAGACTAGATGCATCAAAATCAACCTTACCTCTCTACATCTCTACACAACAGTAGCCTGCGTGACGACCGTATCCAATAATACAAAATCGAGAGCAAATCCGACTCAGAACCCACTTTAGAATATATATTAACAAGCGAAGTTGTCAGTGCTATTCGTGTCGACCATTTCAAAGAAAAACTTGATCAGCTACCTCAACAATTGCCACAGCGCATTATCTACGGTGCAATCACGCATAAGCTTACTGTAATTCAACAGCTATCAAATAACTAATTATTTAATCAATTTGTACTAATTCCTTTACAATAATTTTTTTTTATTATTATTATAACCAGCAAATGTAACGTCATTGTTTCAATTGTTACGCCATTGCTATTTATTTCTTAAAAAACTGTTCAATGCATTATAGCCAAAAAATAATTTAAAATAAATTAATATAGATAATATAGAAAAAACAAAGTATTTGTTTATTTTACAAAGCTTCTTTTGAAAAGTGACGGTTTTGTGACAAAGCATCATATAAATTTTTTTATTTATCTATTTATCAAACAAAAATATTAGCTAAAATAAAATGTCTGCAGTTAACTAGTAAACTACAAATTTTTAGCTAATAATTTTGTTTGTTTATAGTATGCTATAAAAATTAAGAATTTTTTTATTTTCGTTCCAGCGAGTTGTTTCGAAATTGCCAATGTGTAAGTCAAGGTAAAAATACAACAAAAACGAGTTGTTACAAAGCGAGGCAACGACACGTAAACATAATTTGGGGGTACAAGGTCCAAATCTTTCATAACATTTATAGGCACAATGTTGATTTGGTATTTTTTAGTATTTAAGTCATAAAGATAGTTTGTTCAGAAAATTTGGATTTTTGAAGCTTTTTATAATTTAATGAACTATACATGTTTATTTTGACATTATATAGGTTACTATTTAAAAATGGAAAGATAAATATTTGTTTTTTTTTTTAAATCAATCAATATTAAAGATAAATTAAAACAATGTGGCTGCAAATTTTTTCTATTATACTATTGGTATGTGCTCATAAGAATAATGGCCATGATCATGGCCATGACCATGGTTCCCATGGTCATGCTCATGGACATCATGGCCATGCTCATGGACATCATGGCCATGCTCATGGACAACATGGTCATGCTCATGGACACCATGGCCATGCTCATGGAGACCATGGACACGCACACGGTAAAAAAAATGACCATGCACATCTTGAAGATGATCACGCTCATGGAGAGGCACCACATTTTAAATGGTCAAAAAAAGCAAACATAAAAGAAAATGAACAAGAAAAACCTATTTCAAAAGGTACAAATGAAAACCATAAAAAATCTGAAGGACATTCTAAGGAAGAGCATATACACTATGAAAATGAAAAACAAACAGTGCATTCTGAAAGTCATTCTCATAGTTATGCTGAAGAAACAAAAACAAATAAGATGTATGTTCCTCCTGCAAATGAACCTGTTCTATGGTTTGAGCCATTATTAGCAACTGCTGTTATAAGTGCTGCTCCATTTTTTATTCTTTTTTTTGTGCCCATAAATAGCAACTCTGAGGAGAATAAACCTTTCCTCAAAGTTTTGCTTGCATTTGCATCTGGTGGGCTATTAGGGGATGCTTTACTTCATCTTATACCCCATGCAATATCTCCCCACAGCCATGGAGGGGAATCACACAGTCATAGTCATAATCATTTTGAAGGACATGATCATTCTAGTGACATGCTAGTTGGTATGTGGGTTTTAGTTGGTTTGATAACCTTTTTAGTGGTTGAGAAACTTGTAAGACATGTAAAAGGAGATCATGGGCATTCCCATGCAGTACATAATATAACTGATAAGAAAAAAAATGACGAAGATAAAGAAACAAAAAATAAAGAAAACACAAAGAAGAAAGAAACCAGTGACAAAGAAAAGAAAAAAGTTGTAGATGTTAAAAAAGGTATGTTCATTAAACAAAAGTATTTGTATGAACAATTTTAATGTTATTAGTCATTTAATAATTCTTTTGAAATTATAATAATTATTTCAATAGTTTAAATTTTTAAGTGTAAAAGTTTTAAAATAAATTATATGTTTAAAAATATAAAAATGATCACTGAAAAATAAATGTCATCAAATTCATTTGTTGTTTAGAAAAAAAAATAATGAAAATCTATTCTTAGAAAAGAAATTTTTTAGTTTTCAACAATTGTCAAGCAGGTATATAATGAATAATTAATTATTCATTATATAATTGTCAAGCAATTATATAATGAATAATTAATTATTAAGTACGTCTAAGAAACAAAACAATCTAAAGTTTGGGTTGAAGCAAAATGGTTCATTGATAATTCAAATTCAATGCTGAGAGCATTGTTCACATTAAAATGAAATTAATCTAAATTCAAAAAAATATTTTTTTTTGATTGTTGATCACAGATGATTTTTGATAATCTTTAGTCTACTGAAACTTAAGCAGATGTAAAAGGAAGAGTTAAATCAATTTTGTAGAGTATAGACAAGTTAGGAAAACATATCATCTATTTCTCTGTTAACAATCGATGTGGATGTAACAATGGTTGTCATTGCTGGAGATATTGATGCATACACATCTTCAAAAGTAGAGCCGGCACTAGTAGGTTTTATGTGGGTAGGGGTGCCATAAAGGTTTTTGTAACATTTTTGTTTTAAAACATTTTTAACACAAAAAAGTGCTCCCTAATGTTGAAATCAGTTGATTTCTTTTTTCCGGATATATCTGGAATCCCAGATATTTCTTTTAACTTTCTAGTTTTTCTGGAATTTCATAAAGTTTTCCATAAATACAAATTTAAATATATATTTGAAATAAATCTGTTTTTAAACTTTTGCAGTCATTAACCATACAAAAAAAGAAGAAAAAATTAAAAAAAAAAGAAAAATTCATAACTGTATCAAACAAAATAAACTAAGCTTAATCATTTGTCTTCTGAATAATAAATCAACTGCAGACATTATTTTTTTATAACTGAATAACCATTTATTTCAACACTCTTTTATTTTTGATTTCCAACAACTATGCTATGTTAAATTTTAATAATTTAATACAAAACAAAGCAAAAGTCAAAATAGCACTTTCCAAGAGTAAAATTTCCCCAAACATTGAAAAAACTTTGAAATTTGCAGTAGAGTGCTGAAATGCAAAAGAGCAAAGTGACATTTTTAACTAATTCTTGAAAAAAGAAATATTAGGTGAAAATCACTGGAAAGAACTTTCTTGTTTTTTTTTTACCTTTTAAATATTATTTCATTGGGTGTTTAATAAATTTAAATAATGATAATAATAAATTAAAACAAATATGAGAGAAATTAGTTCTGGATTTGTAAGACCTAGATGATCTTTGTGTTATACAACAATTAAAATTGTCAGTGGTCAATTCAGAGCCTGAATTGAAGAGAACGAGTTGCTTGCCTAAATTCAAATCTATATTTTACTAACTGGTTTAGGTACATACACATTTGCACACACACACACACACACACACACGTACATAGATATGTGTATATGCACATATGCATGTGTGTATGCATTTTTGCACACACACGTGTATGCTTATATATAATGTTTGTATTTATTTGCATATAAGTTTTATGTTATGTGTTTAGAAGATATCAAAGTTACTGCTTACTTAAATCTTGCTGCTGATTGTACACATAATTTTACTGATGGATTGGCAATAGGAGTTTCATTCTTAGTAAGTCGTAATGTTGGCTTAATTACTACTTTGACTATTTTTTTACACGAAATTCCACACGAGATAGGAGATTTTGCAATACTTATTCAGTCTGGTTGCACAAAGAGAAAGGTATTAAAATATTTTGCTATTATTTTTATGAAAAGATTTTAGTACAATTAATATTTTGTTGCATGTTTTTTATATTAGACATAAAATTAGATTTATATGCTTATTTGGTAAAATGTTAGCTCAGATTAAATAGTTTTTAGAAATTTCATTAAAAAAAAAAAGAATATAATTTTGATTTTTTCCTATAAAAATAATTCAGTATGGAATATAAAGTTAACTTTATAACAGAGAATCTTTAATATTTGTCCTTCTTTTTCAATTTAATTTATTTTTTATAACTAAACTATATAAAAAAATATTTAATAATATGTTTTTAAAAAATATTTTGTATTTAATTGTTAAATACTAATATTTTATAATACAAATATAAAATAATGCTTTATAATATCAAAAATACAAATTTAAGATAATGCTGTTAAATACTTTAATGTTAAATATAAAATAATGCTGTTAAATTTTAATAGTATTAATTTATTCAAAAGATAATTTGTATCTTCATTGGTGCAGTTTGTTAATAAATTAAAGCTAGGTGTTATAAGTTTTGATTGTAATTAATAATAATTAATGTTTATTAGTTAGCCTTATAAAAAATAGAAATTTTCTATTTTTGTTTTTGCAATTGAATTCAAATTTTTCAAATTTGAATTCAAACTGAAAATATTTATTAAAAGAAATATTAACCAATAATTTTCCAATACTGTGATCAAAAAGATATACAAATTATAGTAGTATTCAAGCCATTATCAATAAAAAATGATATTTTGCAGAAGTCTTTACAGGTAAAGTTTCTGATTAGCAACTATTGTCTGCAATAAATGGGCAAAATATAAGGCGCTTGTTGAAGTTTAGAACTTAAATATATCTAAAAGTAAATTTGCCTTAAAAGTGCAATTTTAAGCTATTTTAAGATGCTGGTAAGATTTTCTAATACTTTGTATTGATCTAAGATTAACAGCATATAAGACTATTAGACCTAAATATTGTAAAATGCAAACATTTTAAACTTGTTATATTCACATCATAATGACAGCCATTTAAGTAATCCTATTTTTTAATTATCAATGGTTGAGTGCATTATTAGAAATCAGTGCCCCTCCAACATGCCTACTGGCTCTGAGGGCTCAGAGTTATTTAAGCCCATAAGTTATTTCTTAAAAAAAGAAAAGATATTAAAGGTTGGACTTCTTTGTTCTGGTCTTTATAGTGGATAAAAGCATAACTTTTAATTGAATCACTTTTAAGGACTCATCATTCCAGGGAAAAATTTACCAAAGTATTGCACTAATACCCATTCAGCAATATCGATATCAGTATTCAGTTGCTTTTTCTTTGCATGTATTTTTCACCATACAAAAAATGTCACATTTACAGCTGATTGGTGTTACATACCCTTTTAAACAGCATGATTGAGATAAGAAATAATGCTATGAGATTTCGTTTAATAGCAGGAACATTCTTGAGTCATTTAGCAAGTACTTCATGTGTATTAACAGCTGTTTCGGATTCAGATATATAGAGAAATCTAAAAAGAAATTTAAATAAATCCAAAAGCATAATTTTTAAAATGTATTTAGTAAGATCTTGTTTTAACAAATTGTTTTCAGTTTCTTTAAAAGTAACTTTTATAGCAACAATTTGAAAATTTGTTTTATCAAGATTGACTTTTTTAACAAATAATAATGTAAGCTATTTAGATTATATTTAATTAAAAGTCTATTATGATATAGGATACGAAACATCAATTATTTAAAAAAAATCAAATGCACTTACACTAAGACAATAAAATACTATATACCTGATGTTTTCACAATTTTCTTAAACAATTAAATACATATTCTTTGGTGTAGAAATTTTAAAGAAGAAAAAGTTTATTAATAACTAGTATTTTTAAAGTCACATCTGAACAATATGCAAGTATCTAAATAATCATGCCTTTTATTTGTGTTCTTATTCACTGTTAAGACCAGATCAAAAAGCGGCAATCAAATATATTTTTCTTTTTGTTAAGAAATAACCTATAATTGGGTACTGGTCCCTCACACAAGTCAGTAAGCAGGTTAGAAGGGTACCGGTTTCCTATTATACATTCAACTAACAATAATAAAAAAGGTTATTTAAATTTTTTATGTGAACAAGTTTAAAAGGTAGATGGTCTAATAGTCTTATATGCTGTTAATCGTAGTTCAATACAAAGTGTTATAAAAATTTACAAGCATCTCAAAATGGTTAAATATTGGACTTTTCAGGCAAATAAACAATATACTTTTAGATATATTTGAGTTTTAAACTTCAGCAACCTGTTTATATTTTGACCATTTATTTCAGACAATAGTAGCTAATCAAAAAAACTTACATGTAAAGACTTGTGGATGAATAGAAAAATACTACAGTTTAACTTCATTTTGGCAATTTTTAGCAATTTTCATATTTTTTGCAACAAAGTTGAGGAGGTTATAATTTTTCTCTAATATGATCCAAGTTAATAAAAACCACTTTTTTAAAGAGAGAACTATCCAGGATAGTTGAAACTGGGTTTAAAATAACTAAAAAAAAGATTGGGTTTAAAACAACTAAAAAAAGACTAGGTTTAAAACAACTAAAAAAAAGACTAGGTTTAAAACAACTAAAAAAAAGACTAGGTTTAAAACAACTAAAAAAAAGACTAGGTTTAAAACAACTAAGTTTAAAACAACTAAAAAAAACACTGGGTTTAAAACAACTAAAAAAAAAACTGGGTTTAAAACAACTAAAAAAAAGACTAGGTTTAAAACAACTAAAAAAAAAAGAATGGGTTTAAAATAACTAAAAAAAAGAATGGGTTTAAAACAACTAATAAAAACACTGGGTTTAAAATAACTAAAAAAAACACTGGGTTTAAAACAACTAAAAAAAACACTGGGTTTAAAACAACTAAAAAAAAGAATGGGTTTAAAACAACTAAAAAAAAGACTAGGTTTAAAACAACTAAAAAAAAGACTAGGTTTAAAACAACTAAAAAAAAGACTGGGTTTAAAATAACTAAAAAAAAGACTGGGTTTAAAACAACTAAAAAAAAGACTGGGTTTAAAACAACTAAAAAAAAGACTAGGTTTAAAACAACTAAAAAAAAAGACTGGGTTTAAAACAACTAAAAAAAAGAATGGGTTTAAAACAACTAAAAAAAACACTGGGTTTAAAACAACTAAAAAAAACACTGGGTTTAAAATAACTAAAAAAAACACTGGGTTTAAAACAACTAAAAAAAACACTGGGTTTAAAATAACTAAAAAAAAGAATGGGTTTAAAACAACTAAAAAAAAGACTAGGTTTAAAACAACTAAAAAAAAAGACTAGGTTTAAAATAACTAAAAAAAAAGGCTGGGTTTAAAACAACTAAAAAAAAGACTAGGTTTAAAACAACTAAAAAAAAGACTAGGTTTAAAACAACTACTAAAAAGACTAAGTTCAAAACATCTAAAAAAAACACTGGGTTTAAAACAACTAAAAAAAAGAATGGGTTTAAAATAACTAAAAAAAAGAATGGGTTTAAAACAACTAAAAAAAAGACTAGGTTTAAAACAACTAAAAAAAAGACTGGGTCTAAAATAACTAAAAAAAAGACTGGGTTTAAAACAACTAAAAAAAAGACTAGGTTTAAAACAACTAAAAAAAACACTGGGTTTAAAACAACTAAAAAAAACACTGGGTTTAAAATAACTAAAAAAAACACTGGGTTTAAAACAACTAAAAAAAACACTGGGTTTAAAACAACTAAAAATATTTTAATTTTTTTAGTTTAAAACTAGTTGCACGCGTTCGTGAAAAATGTTTAACAGAAAATTTAGGGTGTTTTTTTTTTTTATATCTTTAAAAAGTAAAATAATGTTATTTAGTGTAAAATAAATATTCAATAACAAATTTAAAAAGCAAAAGTGGTAAAATGCGTGTTTTTTTATTAAGTTTTTAAGCGAACCTTGACGTTTCAATAAAAATAAGTTGGCAAACCTGACTTTCATTTTTCTGTCAATTTTATGCTTAACGCTCGCACATTCACCGATTTGTCGAGGTCTAAAATGGTATTAGAATAAGTCTACCTGAAGATGAACCTTTGGTTTTATCTGATAATGAGATTAAAACTATCTACTTCCATTAATGTGTTAGTCGCAGTTAAAGCATCAGTCGAACCCCTTTCCTGTTGGGATGCTTTGTTCACAAACAAGTGATACGATAACTTTAATGGTAAAAAACTTTAAGGTTCTAGAAGCGTTTTAAGTCAAAAATTACATTTATCTTTTTGTTCTTTGAGTGCAATTAGGGCATGTTTATAAGTTGTTTATAAGTTTATAAGTTGTTATAAGTTGTTTATAAGTTTATAAGTTGTTTATAAGTTATGTTTATAAGTTCTTATGTATCTGTACAATCGTAAGTACTAATGTATCTGTACAATCGTAAACCAATGTTCAGTTTAAATCTGAAATAGAGATATTTACAGTTTTCAAAAGCTGAGTTACTTCCAGTGTAGAATTCGAAAATGGTTTTTTGCGGCTGGACTTTGGAGCAACAAAGTAAAAAGATGGTTAGGCGATTAAAATTTTGATGTACTCTGTTTTTTCGAAATATATTTTAAAAATAATTAAAAAAATTTTTATCTGTATATTATATCTAAAAAAAAATGAACCATTTGTAATTTGATAATTAAGTATGTATAATAATATAAAACCAAAGAATTAAATAATTTAATGAATAGTCTTTTTTAAACAATTTTTTACAAAGAAAGTCTTTTTAAAAAAATTTTAAACAAAAATTTGAATGTGTCAATAATATTCATAAATTTTTACTAAGATAATATATATATTTTCCAAGATTTATTAAGATAATGGAATTATTTTTGTAATGTTGCTTCTCTTTTTCTTTTCTACAAATACTATAATGGACACTGCTCTAAAGAACTAGCGTCTCTTGTGCCATCTACTAAAATTCATTCTAGTGTTACTTGTCATTTAATTGACTCATCCTTTTTCTGTGACTGTTACTAAGTGCTCCAAAAACTCTTATTACTCTAGTTTTTTTCCTTGAACATAAGTTCTTTGGAACTTGCTTCCTTCATCTTGCTTTCTTGATTTATACAATTTGAAATTTTTTAAGTCGTCTGTCAATCGTTATCTTGTTCTAAAATCTTCTTTTCTCTTCCAGTAACTTTCAACTCTAATTAGTGGTTGCTTGCAGCTTTGTTGGGAGCGAAGATGTTTAGGAAAAAAAAAAAAGAGTATTTAAAGTAAAGGTTATTCCCAAAGTTAGGGACATGAGCATGAGCATTGCAATGCAGCGTAAGATTACAAAACCTTGTCGAATTTGGTTATTTAAATTTTATGTTATATTTAAACTCAGGTTATATTATTTTCTTATTACAATTTTTTTTTTTTAATTTACCAATTGTTATTTATAGTTTCTATAGTCAAAGTTTTCCATTTAAGGCAATGGCATTACAGTTGTTTACTGCTGTTGGCGCTTTTGCAGGGTGCATATGTGGCTTGTTAGCTGAAGGTCTTGGAGCAGCTGCTTCTAGTTGGATACTACCATTTACTGCTGGTGGTTTCATATATATTGCCACAGTTTCTGTTATTCCTGAACTACTAGAGGAAACCAACATTAAGCAGTCAATCAAAGAGATATTAGCTCTTCTAGTTGGTGTTTTGTTGATGGTTTTTATTGCAACCATGGAATAAAATTTTTTCTCGAAGCAAAAACTCTAACATATTTTAGGATGACTTATTTAGGATGACATTTTTAATAACTTAGTAAAATAAATATAAAAGCTATTTATTAATCTGTTAGTTTGTATTTTACACACAGTTTTATGCGTGGCTTCTTTGACAATTATAAAAAAGGGAAGTTTTTAGTTATGTTATTCGATAAAGAACCAATTATTTTTAAAGTTACAGTATAATAAAGTATCGTAGTTTGATGTTAAAGACAAAGTCGAGTACGTATCAGTAGCACTCTTACATAATTTTCAAGCATCAGAATTCATGATTTTTTTATTTTACATTATCTAATTCTAGTAAAGTAAAAAAGCATTGAGTGAATATCATCTTGAATAACTAGCATAATTTATTTTTTTATTAAAATTAGGTTTTTGTGACTTTTTTAATAATAATAATCTAATTTTGAATAAATTTTAAATAAATGGAAACCTTTTTCGATTTCTTTACACCGTCGTGTGACCAAGAACATAAAGTTCTAATTAACCATTACAATGTTTTTCTTTTAATATAATATTCGGCGACACTTATTATTTTGAGATTTTTTAATCTTTTGAATGGTTAAAAGCCTGCTCCTTAATGTGCATATGTTAACTGCGCTGCGGGTGCTTTTGTTTCATTTTTGACTAGGCCGTGTCATAATATGCATTAAATGTTGACTGTTACATAAAATTACTTCAACACTAGTTATTGTATAAAATCATACTCAAAAACCATTTAAAAAGATTACAAAAATAACCAGCTTAGGTATAAGTTGCATTTTTGAAGTAATTTCAAAAGTTGCTATAGATTGATATAGCACTTATTTAAAATGAAATCTCTACAATCTGAACATAAAATATGGTTTAACTTTAATGGGAATGTTAGTTGTCTTTTTTTTTCTGATACACGTTACAAAGCTAATTTTTGAGAGATAAGTTAAAACACAACGAGCAAAACAAAATAAAATTTTAAATGCTCTGAGAAAGATTAAGTCTGTTAAAGAATAGTCCTCATTAAAAGACTGCTTGACATCTATGAACCATTAACGGTGTTTAGTAGCACCTGTGATGATTTATTTCCAATTCTTAAGAAAAAGAAATGTAAATGAAAAGAATCAAACCAATCTTTACAAAAAATACGCACACAAACAGATGTAAAAAAGGAAAGTCTGAATGCAAATGAAAATGGTTTTTACTTGCATTTCATGTTCGCTTAAGGTGTACAGCAAACTTTTATAAGTTGTGATCAGCAAACGCAAAACATTATCCTAACAGAACTTGCTAAAATTTTCTTGTGTACAAAAGCAGTGTACAAAATTTTTTAAAGTATGTTTAACTTATGAGGAATTTGCAATAATTTGCTATCATCATACAGTAAATATGTTTTTAACTTACCATCTAGATTTGAAGTATCAATTATGGCAATTATTTTTTTAAGTAATAAAAAAGTTATTTGTTATTCTTTTTTTTGTTACAATCTGGCATTAGTTTGCAATATTCGACCAAATACCGAATACTAAAATTTTCGTTATTCGTAACATCTCTAAAGTAAATATCTGGTGAAACTCTAGTTACTCGTAACATCTCTAAAGTAAATGTTTGGTGAAACTCTAATTATTTTATCTTTATACATACTAAGCAGGGCTGACGACTTGATTATTGTGCTCCTCCCCCATTTCGAAACCCGTGTAGTCGGCCCTGTTAAGTCCTACAATTTGTAATCTTGACCGATTTAAAGCCTTGACCGATTTAAAATTAAACACTGAGAAAATGGAATTTCTAATTTATGGAACAACTCCTATTTCAAACAACTTATTCAAATTAATGGAACTTTGATATATCTTTAAAATAAATTGAAACAAGTTTCCAATGGGATAATGATACTAATAAGAAAAAGATTGCAACACTTCAAAAAATTAAATTAAATGATCGTATAACTCAGTTTCAATCGCTTGCAATAGCTCTAATCGACAGTGGAATTCGTTTTTGCCAGCTGTCAACAATTGTTCATCTGTATAACTCATTATTAGTTTCTAAGCTTACATATGGACTTAAATACTATTAACAACAGTTCTCTTAGCTACATAAATGCTGTTGTAATAACAGTTTTAAAATCTTTTTTTCGTATCTCAAAATAGAGTAAAAACTACCTGCATTCGTTTTTCAAATCAGAGGATATTTTAACTTTTCTACTTCGAAACAAAGTAAAAGTATTTATCAGGCTGTTAAAAAATCAAACTTACTATTCACTGATATAGAAGCAGTTACTAGCAACATACAAAAAAATTTTTTACAAATGAAGTGATTGCTACATGTACTACTCTTGCTTTAAACTTCTTCCAGTGTATGACAGAAGGGAAAAAAGTATAAAATGACACAACCTATAGAACTGCCAGTGGATGTTGCAATAGTATTAAGAGAATCGTTCCTCGAAGAGAGTGATTTTTAAAACTTTGATGGAGGAAAATGTTCCGAAAACACTAAACCAATTAAGTGTAGAAAATATACTATCTAGTATTTAAGGCTAACATCTTTGAAAGCCGTGTTGTTTTACTGGTTATAATTTTAAAAAAGTAACTATAATAAAGTGTATTTTACCTGTAATTTCATATACTGGTTGGTAAAAAGAAAATATAATATAATAGTAATAACACAATGTAACAAAAAAAAAAAAAATTTCTGTTTATCAAAATTTTTTGATGTTTCTTAATTAATTTGAGTATGCTGAGTCTGAATATGACATTGGATTTTTTATTGCATCAATCGTTTGGTCGTAAAACCAAAAAATCAATTAAACATATAATTAATATAAATCGTTTTGCATTAGATTCTACTTTAGTCAATATAAAACATTTACTAATTCAAAAGTGTTATGTTATGTTACAAAACTTCATGTTACATCATGTTTCTTACATATATTACATAATGTTACATTATATTGTATTGTAACAGTCTCTCACAATCTCAAAAAACACTAAAAGTGAACAGTAGAACGAGGTTTTCTTTTATGAAGTTTCTCGTCATCGCGTATCAAACACCAGATGTAGTCACCCATCTGCCCTGGTATCTTTTCTCCATTGCAAGAATATCCTGATGGAAACGTTCCTCGTGCTCTTCACTCACATCACCCAAATTTGGTCTGAAAAATTCCAAGTGTGAATGCAGGTAATGCAGCTTTATTGACATTCTGCATTTCATATCTGCGTACCGTACAATTAAGTTTTCCACTATCTCTTTGTAGTTATCACTCTTATTGTTGCCTAAAAAGCTATGAACAACATGTCTAAATGCAGTCCATGCTTCTTTTTCAACAGCAGACATTTTGTCCTCAAGCTCCTTACATGCCAACATAACTTTAATCTGTGGACCAACGAATATACCTGCTGAAATTTTTGCATCTGACACCTTTGGAAACATCTGCCGAATATGCTGGAATGCTGCACTATCTGGGTTTAATGCTTTGACAAATTGTTTGATAAGACCAAGTTTAATGTGAAGGGGTGGTAGTAAGATCTTTTCAACAGGTATCAGAGATTGATTAATAACATTGTGCGAACCAGGCTGTAAATGTTCTCTCACTGGCCACTCACTTCTTGTGAAGTGCTGGTTTGCAGCCCTGCTATCCCATAAACAAAGAAAACACGAGTACTTTGTGTATCCTCCTTGCAGACCGAGAAGAAATGCTAGCATCTTAAAGTCTCCACATACATCCCACTTGTAACTGTCGTAGTTGATTTTCTCAAGCAACAACTTCACGTTCTTATAGTCTTCCTTTAGATGAACGGAATGAGCTACTGGAATCGAAGGAAATCGGTTTCCGTTATGGATCAAAACTGCCTTTAGACTTCTTGTTGAGCTGTCAATGAATAATCTCCACTCTTCAGGATTGTGAACAATGCCAATGTCATTGAAAAGACCACGAACGTCATGACAATAGCACAGTGATTCTGATACTACATAAAAGTATGCGAATGTTTCATGTCTTTTTCGGTATTTCGAGGTTCTGCAGCTTGGATCTAATAAATTCCATTCTTTCAAACGTGATGTCAGAAGTTCTGCATTTGATTTAGTGAGACCTAAATCTCGTACTAAGTCATTAAGTTCTTGTTGGTTAGGGAAATGAGGTGAATCATTCGGTTCCCTGAAATCACAGTCATCATTGAGTTCATCCGGTGAGTCTACTTCAGAATAATATGCAGCTGCTTCTTCGGATTGAGGTGGAGTAGGAACAGGCAATTCATCACTGTGTGGAATTGGTCCAATAGAAGATGGTATACTTGGATAAACTAGAGTCAGCCTATCTTTCGGTTTTTTATACTTTGAAATGCCAACAATGCAGAAAAAGCAGTCATCATGATGGTTCGTCGGGTCTCTCCATATTCTCGGAATCGCAAAGGGCATTGACTTTCGGATTCCACGCAGCCATCCTTCCAGAGTTGATCTGCAGCTACCACAACTGTAGTGTGGTGCCCACGATTTGTCCTGATCTCCCATAGCCATGCCAAAATAAGCATGATATGCAGTAAAGAATTTTGTACCATTGACAATCTTATGTTTAGCTTGTGTTGGACTAATATAGTAACCACAAACATAACAGAATGAGTCAGGACAAAGCTTGCAGGATCTACTAGACATATTCACTACTTCATGTAACAGTTGTAATTAGTTAAACTGAAAATAAACACACGAATATAGTTAAAATCAGCATATATATATAATGTTTTAATTGCATTACACATATACGAAAACTCCGAAATATACTTTATGCTTTTTCTCAGGAAATCTTGATGATAGAGAAAAACCAATGGTACCACTGAAATCAGCATACAAAAATTATGTAAGAAACATTAAAAAATTAACATAAACAAAAATGTTGTTACATGGTGTAATATTTAAAATTAAGATATAAATGAAAAAAAAAAATTCTAAATAAATGATGTCATTGAATGAAAAGTTTTTATTGACTGTTTATAAGTACAACTTTAATAAAAAGTATTTTTTTTTTTAACGGGTAACCGAGTACCCGCCGGTTTTTCGAGTACCCGCCCGATAACTCTATTAATCTGTTATTTTGTTCCTGAACCTTAATGCAATCAGGTTCAAGAACAAACCTCAACCCAGTACTGCTGGTCAGTATGGTTTCGGTTAATTTTTCTATGAGCTTATGAAATGAAAAATGTCTTAATACCCATAGCAATTCTAATGTTTTTTATACTGTTTGTATGTAACATGTAATGTAACGTAACGTGACGTAGTGTAACGTGTAATGTAACGTGTAATGTTAATACAATATAGAAGTCACTTCTTACAATAAAGAATTGGATTTCTTAAAGTAGATATGCTTTGCATTAAGTACATGAGTAGCTAACTTATATAGATAGTAGCAAACTTTTAATTGAACTCACATAAAAAATACTAGCATCTTGTAGAAATAAAAAAATGATTGTCTGAAGACATCATAAAAGCTCTAAATAAATGATTATTTATGTCATATACTTTTTTCAATGTAAACTTTTGGTAACGTTTCTGTTTCTTTTGCACAAGTTTTTAAAAAAATTTTTCATTAATCTTAAAAAATTAAAAAAAGCAATCAACAGACAAAAAATGAGTCTTGTTTCAAGAAACATAATAAATTTATAAGTTTTTAAAAATTTTTAAATTTTGATAGAATAGAATCTGCATGAAAGATATTAATGGATTTTCCAAAATCTTACAATTCAAACCCACTGCCAAAACCGTATTTACAGTTTGTCAGTAAATCTGATGTTTTGCTAAAAGATGCGCATGAAAGGGCGCCTAAAAAATATATAATATATTTATATATTTTACGCATAAGAAGAACACGTCAGATCTATTACGCATAAGAAGTACCCGACAGATGATATTTAAACTTTCTTGTGCAAAATAAATTTTTAAAATACAAAGAGCTCGAGCTCTTTGTATTTTATATAACTTTTTTATTCATATGATTTTATAGGAAATATTTTGCATTAGTAAAGTAAAATAATAAAAAACAAAATTTGATAAAACCTTTAGTCTCTGTTTATTGGTTTTCACAGAAAATACAAATTGCCCGTCAAATGAAACTTGTGGATTTCATTTTTGGTTATCGGCGTTTTTTTAGTAAAGTTATTTGAATATCTTCTATTTCCCTGGATAGTTCAAAAATTTTTGGACAACTGTAGATGTTATTTTTTAAACAAATTTATGGAATTAAATATAACTATCATTGACGTTGTCGCGTTAGAAAAGCTGGATAGTAATAAAAAAAGGTAGAAAGTACGAGAATAATATTATAAAAACCAATATATTTCCCTATAAAAGCTTCAATGTGAATTAAATAAAATGTTACAAAAGTTAAAAATTAATTAATAGTTTGTGAATCTCCTTAAATATTAATAGGACGGCATGCATTCAGTAAATAGTAAAAAAATTTTTTGAATCCGATGAATAAAAAACATACATTACTCATAAAAAAACATAAATATGTTATTATCTATGTGCTTTGATATTGGAAATTAAGTAACAGTTTTTATGACACTAAAACAAATTTAAGTTTAGCGTGTATTAAATATATATATATATGACGGCGGGAAAAAAATTTAACCGGAACATGAAAGTTGAAAACACATTGCAAGAGAAGCTTATCAAAAAAAAACTAAGTTTGTTTCGTCATTCAAAACATGGTTTTGGTTTTTGCATAAGAGGAGGAAAAGAACATGGTACAGGAATATATATATCTGGAGTTAACATTTATTCAAAAGCTTATCGTGAAGGCTTGACTGTTGGAGATATTATTGTTAAAGCAAACAGAAAATTATTTCACGGTCTGTCCCACTCTGAAGCTGTTCAAGTAACAATTTATTAGTAAAATTTACTTTTTATTTTTTATTGTGATTTTAATGGTTTTTTTACAAACATAACACTGTTTTAAAGTTTATTAGAGCCCAAAAGCAGCTTCAATTAGTTGTGGTTTCTCGTGGCATCCTTCCCGAGCAAAAACTAAAATATACTGAATACCAATGGATTGACTGTTATGGCGAACTATGTTCACCACTTAGATCATCTTTAATAGAAGCAAGAAAAGATAATTTAAGGAAGGTAAAAAAGCTTGAAAGGTAATAAATAATACAAAAGGCATTTTTTTTATTTTTGTGATAGAATTAGTTCACTCAATAAAATCGACAAATTTATACACTAAAGCAGTAGGCAAAATTATTGTTGAAAAAAACAAAAATATCAATTTAAGAATGTGTAAAAAATAAAAATGAACTAAAAAAATCTTTTAAACTAAAAAGTTAATGCCTATTATACTTATTATGTATTTATAATGTTCTATTATATTATAAAAGTTAAAATTATCATTATTACTTTTTCATTTAGCATAGACAATTTTAATGAAAAGTTTTGGACTCCAGGACCTTTTTTTTTATTATTACTATTTATTAGAGATGCCTCGAATATTCGGTATTCGGCCAAATATTGCAAATTTTTTGGCTGAATATCTAATTCTAAAAAAAAATTTATCTTCAAATATATATACTTCCAAAAATACTCATTCACTATATACAATTAAGGCCTGCACAAAGTAGGTAATGTTGGTGAGAGGTGTGACACTCATTTAATGGATGTGAACTTTTAATTCACCCATCATTTAATATTTGCTCGAGAAAGAAAGAGAGAGAGACAGAGAGACAGAGAGAGACAGAGAGAGCGAGAAAGAGCGAGAGAGAGCGAGAGAAATAGATAGATAGATGTGCAAACACACACACACACGCGCACATATATAACAAATTAAATATTTTTTAATTTTTAGGTGAATGTCGTTGTTACCGGTAATAATAAACTAGGATTACTTATAAGAGGAGGGTCAGAATTTGGTCTTGGTATTTTTGTTGCAGGGATTGATGAGAACTCAATTGCTGATAAATGCGGTATTATGGTATGTTAGTTTTTATATGTAAATCAGTATTTATTTTTTTTCGTATTTGACGCACTTTTAATTTCTTTCACTACTGTTTCATACTCTTCTTATTCGTAAAAAGAGTTTTTTTTTTATTATTCATAGAATAATGAAAAAACTGAGTTCAAAAAAGTACCCTGGTCATTATCCTGCAAAAGAGCAGGATAATGACTTAGGGGTTTTCCTGCTAGTTGCAATACCTTTTGTGAAGAACTGCTGTTTTAATTTGTAAAAAATTAAAAATGATCTATCATCTAAATGAACATAGCGAGGTATACCAAACATGGAAAATAGATAACCTAAACAGTCTATTAATGTCTGAGTTGTTATATTTTTTACCCGATAGGCAAAAGGAATACGTTAGTATTGATTTGCAACGGTAAAGTCTATTGTTAAGGAGTTGATTAAGTTAATATTCCTTTAAAATCTATGGGTATACGTTCAAAAGGCTGAGTTGCTTTAGCTAGGTTCATATAATTTAAATGATAGTACTTTGGTTTTATTTTATTACATATTATACAATCTCTGCGTATTATAAGGTAGGTTTCTTGACTGAATAAAATGATAGAGTTGAGTAGATTCAGGATAGCAAGGTGCAGCATGAAAATCATATACTGTCTCTGAATTTATTGCTGCACACCGAACACGAGTAAATGTATCTGGACCAATGTAACATTTTCCCAGACGATAATAGATTTCATACGATACAAGGCTATTTTCCAACGCACTATCTTATCATTATTTTTTTTACTGTTTGACTTATAATCATACACCAGTGATTTATGACTTCAAATATTGCTTGAGCTTCTTTCTACCTGATGAATAGTTATGTTTTTAATCAACAAGTCTTTCATCTTGGTTATGTGAGGCTGATATATACTATTATAGTAAAAGGGATATGCTCATCTATGGTTTTCATAGAATATTAAACAAGCTTTTTTTTGCAAGGGATATGCTCATCTATGGTTTTCATAAAATATTAAACAAGTTTGCAAATGCTAATGGTTGTTGTTAAATTATATTTTAAAAGTTTCTGATCCAATTTGCATAGTATGAAAACATTCCAATAATCCGTTGCAGGACGTGACATTATCAGGTGGAGATAACTTATTAAGAGGGCCAAACCGCTTCGGATTAGGTTTTAAAGTACCATATGATATGCGGTATACTAAAATATCTATTGTGTCAGTTAAAAATACACACTTCTTCTTTAATGTAACTCCAGAATCTTTGGTAGCTATTTAAATTTGGCCAAGTTTTCATCATTCTTCCTTATGACTATTACCATATACAGTGGTGTTATCAATAAATGGAAAGCAGTCAGTTAGTTTATAGATCTTAACAAAGTTGTCTTTTCAAAGTTAAACCTTTTAAATTAATCAAAAACTTCTTTCAATAAAATAAGTTTTCCTAATCTTGCCAATACCTTTCTTTGCAATACATCAACTTATTGTCAACAATAACAAAGTTTTTACACTGTCATTTAAAATTTGCCTATTCTCATTCACATCTTCAGGAAAAGTATTGTCATTTAAATATTTCCTTACTTTATTAAAGTTAATATTTTTGTACATCTCGAAAAAATAAGCTATATAAATTGTAAACTAAAAAATCAGTAAAATAATAACGAGTGAAGTAAAATTTTAACCTTAAAATATTACTGCCTCAGTATAACTTTAACGTTATTATTTTACCGCAAAACGTTATTATTTTACCGCAAAAGAAGATTGATGGGTTGAAAGCATTCGCGCGCTCAAATTTTAACGCAGTATTTTTAAAACGAGTCACTGTATTCTTCTGCGTAAAACCTAAGTATTAGGGGTTTTACCCTAAATTCTAAGGATTTGAACCTAAATATTTTTAAAACTGACGTGGTAGGATAAAAAGGTTTCATATTTGAAATTAAAATGATATACAAAAATGATATACTATTAATACTATTAATCATTAACAATTAATGTATATTTAAAATACAAAAACAATTTCTTTTTCAAAAATGTAATTAAATTTAAAATACAAAATACTAAATATGTATTATCAAAGAATTTTAAATTTAAAATACTTTTTCATTTCTCGAACGTGTTTTGAATCAGCTAAAGTTTAAAATAAATCTTAGCAAATGTATATCTTTTGGAATTTTATGAACTTGCTGAACTGTTTGCATGAGAAATCCCAGAAAACAATCTCCCCTTGAAGTTTGTCCATAGCATCAGCAATAGGTTTCATAAATTGTTTGTATTCTTTTAATATCTCAAACTCATAAAACTTTATAAATATTTTCCACAGCATCAAATGTTTGTGTGCTTTGGCTGACACAGGACAACAGTTTTGAGCAATTGGCTGTTGCACTCCTGTATTGTTATTGGTAGTTCATAGTTAAATCGTTAACACTTGTTTGTAAAAAAAAAACTAGATGCTTGTTGCTATACATTGCTGTTTGCTATTAATTGAACTCAATGTTAGTTGACCATTAATTCTACTACAAAACTTTTTTGCAGGGACCCTTTTTAACAATTAATGCACGTGAAGTAAATATTTCAAAACTTATTTGATTAATTCATGTTAAAGCTGAAATTATTTTGCACAACAAGATACGATACAAATATTTAGTATTTGTTTTAAAAAAAAAACGTTTAAATTCAAATTACTAATATTTAAAAATTTTTCTCTTTATATTTTATTTGCTTTTGACACCATAACATTTTATGTCATTACACACCATAGCATTATGTCCAAAGTATAATATTTAAAGTAAAAGCACAACAAACAATTGTTATTTTAATAGATTTTGTAAATTTTCAACAGCTTCATTCTTAAAAACTAGCATTCTAAACAATAATTTCGGTATTTAAATTTTATTACTGTCCAAATGCATTTTTTTTTTAAAACTTTCTTATTCCAAACAAGGTTGCAAACAGCTACTATTTAAGTTGAAAAGTGCAAAATAAAGAATATTGGCATGAAAATGGTTGAAAGAAGGCTAAAAAACTGTAAATTGTTTAAAGCAGAAAATCATGAAGGCGAGAGTTAGTTCCAAAGGATTGATGTGTGAAGAAAGAAATTGGATAAAATTTTTAGGAATTTGAAGGGACAGATGCAGTAAAAGGATATGACTTAACTGAATGGTGGGTGAAGTGAGAATGAGTTTTGGTTGATGGAACCAGGGTTAGGGTGAAATACATATTTTCATTTGTATTTGGTAAAAATAAACTATTTTGGCCTATTTGTAGCTGTACTGTACCATAAAACAGGGTTATTTGGGACAACAGTATTACATGGGTCAATATTAGCAATTTTTGTCTGTTAGGTTGGCATTACCTCACATCCCATATTTCACAGCTGAACTTTTATTTCATACTTGAGCTTTTACAAACATTCTGAGAGTTTGAAAAAAGTTTAGTGTTTTTCTTTAGTTTTTCCTTGCAACATATTTGAAGTGACTCAAAAATTATACTTATCCTCTATAATATGTTAGTTTTATCATTTTTCATTCATCATATTTCATCCTTTGCATATGGTTTACATGTTATAGACCAACATTCTATTACATTCTATTTGATAAACTTTAGTTTCCATTAAAAAATTTTAAATGTTATTATATTTTTTTTTATAAATATATACCAAAAATGGTTCTTTCCATTGTATTTTGAGTTAGTATATTGCCATTCATAATTTTTTTTAAAACATCCTAATTAAACCAAGTAAACCCATAGAAGAGGTTACTTGAACTTAGTTACTTAAACTTGAACTAAGTGATTGTCTCTAGTAGCACTTTGTAGTGGGCTTAATCGGAACAAGTATTATATAATTTTTTAATTTCAAGTAATCTAAATCCCAAAAATGGAAACTCAGTGGTTATGTACTCACACAGACCTATGTTTTGATATTTTTTGTTCAAAATAATAACTTTTTCACTTAGCCCTACCTTTATCCAAAGTTAAAAATTGTCCCAAGTAACCCCATTTTATGGTATTTGATTAAAAAATTTCTTAAACATTTGTATTTGTCTTTGATTAAAATGTATTTACAATTCCATAAACTAGCCAGTGTTTTTTTGGGAAATACCACAAGGTTTTTATTTTTATTTTAAACATTAAAATAAATTAAAAGTTTATTTTTGAGGGATATTTGTTAAAAGATTTGATTTAATTTTTCTATTTAGTAGACCATTTTATCAGTCCTGTCTCGGAAAAATCTTTCTATTTATTTTTTTTTAACCAAAGTACAAATATTTTTATTTAAATCTGTATTTGGAAAATGGTGATTGCGTACGTTTTTATTTGAATTTGATCAAATGTATTTAACTCCAACATTCGATAAAACTAGAGGTGGTAGTTCGTTTGATGTATTTATGTAGTGTTTGTAGAAAAAAATAAACAGATAAGACATTATGATGATACAACAGTGGCTCAAGTCTGGTATAAAGTCATAAAGCAGATTAACTACATTAACATTTAATTTCTGGAAGTAAGGAAATAGAAAGCAATTAGTTTTGCAATTATGTGGTTTAGGCAGGTTTCCATAATGCCATAATGGGAACCTTATTTAACTATGGAATAGTTGATTTAATTTTTTACAACCAAATGCATTTCCTGATATTAACCTGTTTTACAGAATCACACCAAGTTTTTTCATTGTGATATTACCAAAAATTAGTTATGGTAATACAACTAGCTTAATAAACACTCAAACAAATAATTATGTGGCTCAGAGATTCATTTGTTATTTGCTATTTAAATTAAGTGCTTGAAATATAAATAGATTTTTAATTTTTTTAATCATGAAAAATAAATTAATCAGATAAAAATTATTTTAAAATAAAAAAATCATGAAATAAATAAAATAATAAAAGTTGATTAGACATCTCTCTCTTTTTTTTTAGGTAGGAGAACAAATTATTGAATCAAATGGAGTAAGCTTTCTTAATATTACTCAAAAAGATGCATCATTTCTTATACAAAATAGTAAAATAATCACTTTTCTGCTGAAAGATGTATCAAAAATACCTGTATCAAAAATAGTACACAACCATTTGCAATGGATTGATAAAAGAGAAAAAAGGTTTGTATTTTTTGAAACCAGATCAACGACCAATATAAACTTGTATTAGATATATCTGTTTTTTGTTAAAATCAATACTTTTTAACTTTAGTTTTTATAAAAATATTAATAGAATTTGACAATTTAAATTTTTAAAATCTGTTAGGCTATATTTGGTTTTTAAGTATTATGTATATTCAATTTTATGTATTATATAGTTTGGTAGTAGGGGAAGACGGGGAACATTTGGCCTTGGGAAACATTTGACCTTTTCAAATATTTTCCAGCATGATTAAAATTACCCCTTAAAATTTTTATGCATATTTTGTCTGTAAAATAAATAAGCTATCGCAGGAAATAAGTATCGATCCATCTTTATTAGTATTAGTACTTATTTAGAAGAAAAGCTTTTAACAGTGTTTGTTTATATATAACACGTGTGGGGTACATTCGACCTACCTAGCTGGGGCACATTCGACCGGTACTTGAAAATACCACGATAGTTTATTTCTCTTATCTATTAGATGCCTCAAAAATATGCAACAAAAACAGATAGAAATAAAAGAAATAAAAATGTGGTAAAAAAAAAAATTATTAGTATTTTCAATGGTTCACTGTCTGAACCACAAGCCGCAAAAAGATTTCATGCCCAGATATGTCACAAATAGTACCTAAATTTTGTTTTTAAACATTTTGTGGAAAGTTTTTATTTGTTCAATAAAACATTTAAAAGAAAGAAAGCTTATTGATTTATTATTTTGCTTATAATGATATAGTCGAAAGTACCCCTCAGGTGGTCGAAACTATCCCAGCAGTGGGGTAGTTTCAACCACCTAGAGAATGGTAGATTTAACAAAAATAAATATTTTAAATACATTATCTTTTTAATTTGTTTGTTTAAGACCATTACTTGTAATGCTAAAAAAATTTAATTGTTTCTGGCAAAAAATCAGTTGTAAATTAATAAAAACCAGCTAAGTGGTTGATTGTATAATGTTATAGTTATAAGGATATAAAAGATTTTATGCATTAAAAAAACCTTTGATGATTGAATTAACTATGGTTCATATTTTGTGTACCTTTTTAATTTAAAATTCTTTTTTTATCAGGTACACTAACTTCAACCTTTTTCAACTATTTGTTATTACTATTTATATTTTCTGCTTTTTTTTTATGAGAAACTACTTTATATCTACAGCTGACATCCAATAATTGACACCTTTATGTTCTACATACCTAAAACTCTTTTTTTCTTTTTTCACACACTCTATCAGGATAGCTTATCTTTATAGTAAAATTTCTCTCAAATTCAATTTTCTGTTCATCAACATTGTATTACTTTTTTAATCAGCCCATTTTAAAACAGAAAGTTAGCCCTTCTCTAAACATCACTATCTGAGATTTTAACATAAATGTTGGGATATCATCTTTAGACTTCTTTTTAGTATTTAAGAATCTGAAAATTCTAGTGATATCATCAGATGTAATTTGACGAAACATAAAATTTAGAGGAAAGTTTTTTGAATTGTTTTCATTTTTTTGTTGTTGATTAAAATCATGGTTCTCATAATTTGCATCTTTATCAGCACTTTTATTCATATTAAGTTTCTCCTCTAAAATCTACAATCGAGAGTAAAATGTACTTAATAAAAACTTTTAAATAGCTTTTATTGTTGACAAATAGAGCCTTTATTTTAACAATAAAATCATTTTAGATTAGATTATAATGCATTTTAATGTGCCACACTGCAATGGGATAAAAAAAATGTAGTTTTAATGGGGCAAAAAAGCCAATCTTTTATTTCCATATATTATAACAATATGCATATCCTTTTAAGTTTTTATTCAATTCACAAAGGTTTTTTTTTGTTAAAAATAATGTTATTTCTTTAAATTTCATTTAGACTTTTATTTAATATAGGATACTGGTCTTTGTGTTCAGTAAGGTTAAAATTAAAAATTTTAAAAATTGAGCAGTTTTTAACCTACCAAATGGCTATAATAATATAAACTTTGCATTTATTATACGTAAAAAGTATAATCACTGTAATTTTTTGTTTATTTGTAATAAGTAGGTATAAAATTATAGATTTAGTGACTTAAAACACACTACATGTAGTCTTATTTATAAAAAGTAAACATTTTATTAAGTCTCTAAATATTACTGACTGTTTGGTTGAGGATCTACTCAATGATTTCCCCAAATTATGTTTTTTTTAATGGAGTACATTTTGTATGTGTAATAAATGCACTTTTTATATTTATTCTACCCTTTTTTTTTTTTTTTTTTTTTTTTCTACCATTTTTATTTGAATAACCATTTTGGTTATTATTATATTCAAGTTTTTAATTTTGCATTGATTTATTAACCTGTTCAAATAAAAGATTTATACAATAACAAGTATGTTTATATTTAAAATGTGCAATTAATAAAATTTAAAAACTCATATGGTTG